GAGAAGGCCACAAACTGATTCCCCTGTGTGATGTGGCTACATCGCAGAAGTCGCACATGTGCTGCCCAAACAACAGGGAAAAAGAATGTCAAGCATCCTCATCAATGAGGCATTCGATTACACCTTTAAAAATTATATCAATTTAATAAGACCCGGGTACTAAACAATCTTGTGCCGTTGACAAGACCCCCCCCTATTTTTTTATGAATTTTACATAAGACCCTAGGGTCTACTATCCGGGAGATTACGGTACTTGAACCACAAGCAATGAAGACGATGCTTATTGCTAGTCAAGAACCAAGCTTTCTCAATTGCACATTTTGTGTAGAACTGCTTGGCTTGCATGAAATCTTGTGCTTTGGGTAGTCACAAACAATTGATGATACGCAGGCCCTCAGATTGGTTTCAGGGCATGCTGATCGATCAGTGTGCAGTGTCCAAAGTGGTGTCCAAATCAGCCTTGGGGGTTAAATTTATGCTGATTTTCTCAGTGTAAATTTTCAAGGCAAGCTGGTGGCGTGGTTGTTTGTGTTATGTCTTGCAATCGCCAAGGTATCGGGGTCGATTCCCGTAGACGAGAACTGCTTGAGTGGGCCGCGAGTTCTTTTTGCGGGTATTCTGGTTTGAACGCCCCCTGTACACCCATACCCTATCATGTCCAAATCAGTGTGACTCAGTACACTATACTGATTCGTCAGTGCTACTTGTACAGCAACACGCAAAATGGTCAGTGTGACAAAATAGGTTATACTGAAATTTCAGTGCAAAATTGAAGCATATGCTGAATTTTCAGGGAAAACGAAAATCTGAGCTACAAAATCAGCGTAATCAGCGTGTTTTACGCTGATACCTGAGGGCCTGATGATACGGTATGAACCTGGGAATACGCTCGTATTGATCGACAGCACTGCATGTGTATGTATGTGCACTGGCATCTATACATGCAACCTGGGAACCCAGTGCCAGTATGGAGAAGCAGGGACAGTGGTGGTGGTCGGATAAAGCGAAGTCCAGATAGATCGAACTACAAAAGCGCTTGTCAGAATGTCCGAAAGACCACACACCGTCTTGCCTGCACGAGTGGGTCCAGCCAAACATGGTGGGTGAAGAGAGTGGAGCAAGGAAAGGATGCAGGTAAGGGGGGTGGGAGAAGTAGAAAGGGAAGGGGTGAGAGAGATGGGAGATGGTAGGCTTGCGAGCAGCAGCAAACCGAGGATCTTGTGGCATGCATGGGATTAGACATGAGAGTCCGATCCCATGCATGGCCTCTCAGTCCCACTCACATCTACCATCTTGGAACAGCAGGCAGCACTTTCCAGAAAGCTTGTCGCTATCGTTCACTGGAATAGAGTGAAACGCGAACTACACGGCAGCTGATGCAGTGAGCACTCACGTCTGGAAGCTGCAGGCTGCCGTCGGACGGTGAGAGGCGGACTATGGGCTTCGAGAATTCTCAAAAACCAGCTGGAATGCTTGCTCTACAGAATTCGCTGTGGCGAGGCAAGCACTCACGTCTGGGAACTGCAGGTTGCCGTCGGCGGGGGAGAGGCGCACCATGCCCTTGGGCCCGCTGCCCAGCTTGAGCACTAGCTGCGCGAACGACAGAATGAAGCACGCCCCGCTGTAGGTCTGCCGTGTTGGTGTGGTGGTGGTGGTGGTGGTGGTGGTGGTGGTGGTGGTGGTGGTGGTGGTGGTGGTGGTGGTGGTGGTGGTGGTGGTGGTGGTGGTGGTGGTGGTGGTGGTGGTGGTGGTGGTGGTGGTGGTGGTGGTGGTGGTGGTGGTCTTGGTGGTGGTGGTGGTGGTGGTGGTGGTGGTGGTAAAAGAAAAGGCACATGGTGGGTATTAGGTGGTACAAGGAAAATCAAGGGGAGAGTTGGAACGATATAATAGCTCCCCTCACATCCCCTCTTCTTTGGGAGGCATGAGGGATGTGGGGCATGATGGCATGGGGGGCATGATGGCATGGGGGGCATGATGGCATGGGCGGGGGGATTATGGTAGCGACGAGGCACTGGGGGGAGGACACGAGAGGGCGGATGGTAGGGAGAAAAGGGGGAGGTGGTGTACGCGTAGCAGAAGGAAGGGGCGAGGCAAGGCACATATGAGGCCGTTCATAACTACCTTTGGAGTCGTCTTAAAAAAAGGAGGGGCGAAGCACGTACGAGGCTGTTGGTAATGGGAGCAGAGAAGAAAAGGGCTACACAAATATCCTTCTCAGCAGCAGCAGCAGCAGCAGCAGCAGCAGCAGCAGCAGCAGCAGCAGCAGCAGCAGCAGCAGCAGCAGCAGCAGCAGCAGCAGCAGGAGCAGCAGCAGCAGCAGCAGCAGCAGCAGCAGCAGCAGCAGCAGCAGCAGCAGCAGCAGCAGCAGCAGCAGCAGCAGCAGCAGCAGCAGCAGCAGCAGCAGCAGCAGCAGCAGCAGCAGCAGCAGCAGCAGCAGCAGCAGGAGCAGCAGCAGCAGCAGCAGCAGCAGCAGCAGCAGCAGCAGCAGCAGCAGCAGCAGCAGCAGCAGCAGCAGCAGCAGCAGCAGCAGCAGCAGCAGCAGCAGCAGCAGCAGCAGCAGCAGCAGCAGCAGCAGCAGCAGCAGCAGCAGCAGCAGCAGCAGTAGCAGGAGCAGCAGTAGCAGAAGTTGGAATATACGCGTCTAGCGTACTTACGCGTTAAGTATATACGCTAGCATTTGCACGCTATACGCTGGAGGGGTCTGATCGAGGATACGCTTTTTTGGGCAGGAAAAAAGCTTTCCCGGGCAGGGTGAAAAACGCAGTCCTCAACATCGGGGAGGTATTCCCTGTTCTCACTAAGACTTTCGTAGAATTTTACTAAGTCTGAACGGCGATTGGGGTGGGATGTGGAGTAGACACTATCGCTAGTAGGAATCGGAAGGATCGCGAGCGGGAATGTGAAGTAGAAATGACCAGTGGAGATTTGCTGGCTGGTACATAGCGTGAGTGGGGTTTGTTGGGGGACATTTTTGAGAGGTTGGAGTTCGTAGATGAGATGGGTTTCAGTGCGGTACTAAATGAATGTTCAATTTTGAACTCCTGCAATCTTCAAAGGCACATTCCCGCTTCCCTATACCGTCGAATTGCATTCCGACTTCGGCTAAATGAACGCTGTACGCTTTAGGGTCTGAGCGTATATTCCAACTTAGAGCAGGAGCAGTAGCAGGAGCAGCTAATGGCAACACACACGTACGAGGGTGTTGGCAATGGGAGCAGCAGTGGCGATGAGGATGGTGGGGCTGTCTGAGCCGCCTAGAAAGTTCTGAGGCGCCTAAAAAGGGACGGCCAAGGTGAGGTGAGGTGAGGTGAGGTGCGGTGCGGTGCGGTGAGGCACGTACGAGGGTGTTGGCGATGGGAGCAGCGGTGGCGAGGCGGATGGTGGGGCTGTCTGAGGAGCTGGAGGGTAGCACCACTGTGTAGGACGGACACTTGGGCAGCTTCCTCTGCACCCAGGAAGTGGAGAGGGGGAGAAAGAGAAGGGGGGAAAAGAAGACTTTTGAGCAGACTGAATAGCGCCACCCTGTGACGGACGGACACTTGGGCAGCTTCGTCTGCTTCAGGGCGCGGAGGAGGTGTGGCGGCATGGGAGGGAACGAGAGAGCGGGAGAGGAAGAGAGTGGGAGAGAGGGGGGGCGGGATAACGGGAGAGGGGGAGGGGAAGAGTTGGAGAGTGGACCATTGTGAAGAGCAGACAATGGGAGACCCGGACTTCAGAGGTTGAAGAGCTGGGGAGGGTGGGGACACGAACGGAGGGAGTAGGGCGTGTGGCGGGTGGATGGATGCCAAGGGGGGGGATGCAAAGTGGGGTCTATCTATGCTGCTGGATACCAGTGCATTCCTTGCTGCAGTGGTAGGGCATTGACGACAAGGGGCATTGACGACAAGGGGCATTGACGACAAGGGGCATTGACGACATAATAAAATACAGACAAGGGGCTTGAGACAAAACCAGACGAGTTATAGTTTTCCCTCCATGCAAGGACGTGTTGTTGAGTTGCGAAACCACTCACATTCCATGCGTTGACCACGTTGCATCGGTCCTTCAGCTTGCCATACACCACGTGGGCTGCCTTCTTGCTGCGCGTGAGGGAGGGAGGGAGGGAGGCAGGCAGGCAGGCAGGCAGGCAGGCAGGCAGGCAGGCAGGCAGGCAGGCAGGCAGGCAGGCAGGCAGGCAGGCAGGCAGGCAGGCAGGCAGGCAGGCAGGCAGGCAGGCAGGCAGGCAGGCAGGCAGGCAGGCAGGCAGGCAGGCAGGCAGGCACGCAGGCAGGCAGGCAGGCAGGCAGGCAGGCAGGCAGGCAGGCAGGCAGGCAGGCAGGCAGGCAGGCAGGCAGGCAGGCAGGCAGGCAGGCAGGCAGGCAGGCAGGCAGGCAGGCAGGCAGGCAGGCAGGCAGGCAGGCAGGCAGGCACGCAGGCACGCAGGCAGGCAGGCAGGCAGGCAGGCAGGCAGGCAGGCAGGCAGGCAGGCAGGCAGGCAGGCAGGCAGGCAGGCAGGCAGGCAGGCAGGCAGGCAGGCAGGCAGGCAGGCAGGCAGGCAGGCAGGCAGGCAGGCAGGCAGGCAGGCAGGCAGGCAGGCAGGCAGGCAGGCAGGCAGGCAGGCAGGCAGGCAGGCAGGCAGGCAGGCAGGCGGGCGGGCAGGCGGGCAGGAGGGCAGGAGGGCAGGCGCAGAGGCAAAGACGGCGGAAAACAACCACGACCCACACAAGGCCGGAAGCCCAAAAGTGAGAAACACAGTGACACAAGAGGACACGAGCATGACATGCTGCATCTGATCTGATGAAGCGCGGCGGGGGGCATTAAGGGCGGGGGGCATTAGTTTATTAGCACTCAAGCACGCAGGAGGAGCATGCAGCACAGCAGCAGCAGCAGAAACAGCAAGGCAGGAGGATGAGGAGGACAGGACAGCCAGCAGCGCCAAGCGCTCGCCAGAAGCATGGCGGATAAGGTTGACCCATCCCAACAGCATGGTGAAACAAGCTATGAGGTGGATAAGGTTGGAGTTAGTGAATAGGTAGCAGAGAAAGAGAGGCGGGGAAAAGGAGCGCGGGGGGAAGAAGAGAGGGTGGCACAGGTGGGGGTGGCACCGTGGCGGAGGCACGGCTGTGTGGTGGGATGGGAAAAACGGAGGGCGGAGGGCGGGGGGGGAAGGGCGGGGGGCGGAGGGCGGAGGGCGGAGAGCGGAGAGCGGAGGGCGGAGGGCGGAGGGCGGAAGGCGGGGGGCGGGGGGCGGAGGGCGGAGGGCGGAGGGCGGGGGGCGGGGGGCGGGGTCGGAGGGCGGTGGCGGAGGTTACGAGTGCAGGACGCCGTCGGAGAAGGGCGCGTTGGGGTGAACACCAGCTAGGTGCCATAGGGTCGGTCGATACGTGGCAGCAAGGCAACTTAGGTTGGGAGGGTTTTCCTCGTGACTTTTCTGCTAGTGGTGCTCACGAGTGCAGCACGCCGTCGGAGAAGGGCGCGTTGGGCTGCATGGCCTCGAGCGAGTAGAGCGGCACGAAGCCCAGCGACCCGTTGAACGTAAAGTCGCACGCCTGCACACCGTGCGGTGCGGGGTAAACGCGGGGAAGGGGGGAGGGCTTTTCGATTGAGACATCTCAAAAGGCTGCATGGCCTCGAGTGGGTAGAGCGGCACGAAGCCCAGCGACCCGTTGAAGGTGAAGTCGCACGCCTGCACGACGGGAGCAGCGGAACAGGAGGGGTGGGACCGGAGGAGCAGGACGGGGGGTGCAGGACGGGAACAGCGGGACAGTGCGACGGGCGCAGCACGGGGGAAGAGGGGGAGACGGGGAGCGGGGACGGGCGGGGAGGAGCGGGGGCGGGAGGGGAGGGGAGGGGAGTGGAGGGGAAGGGAGGGAACGGAGGGAGGGGAGAGGGGAAGCGGAGGAGGTAGGTAGGACCGTAGGACGGTGAAGCAGTGAAAGAAAGGAGGAAGAATTCATAGAGGGTTGTGGTGGAGACGTCGCAGGGAAAGAGTGAGAAAGACCAGGACGGACGCACCCATGTAAGCATTCTCCCCTTTTCTACCTTTTCCCCTCCCAACGCACACTCACGTCTACAAAGAGAGGCGTGCGTGTGTGTGTGAGAGAGAGAAGGGTGGGGGGAAGGAGGGGTGCTCTAGCAAGGAGGAGAGGGGGATGGGGGAATGGGGTGGGGAAGAGAGGGAGGGGGGAGGTGGAGGGGAGAGGGGGAGAAGAAGCGCGGAGAGCGAGCAACAGGGAATGCCGGGGCGGCGGTACCTTGAGCGCGAGGAAGCAGGAGGTGGGGAGGAGCAACGTGGAGCCCTGTAGCGCGCCGGACCTAGTAGGGCCCGCCGCGACCGCACCCACGGCCGATACGCGCGATAAGCACCACAGGCACACGCACGACAGGAATGAAAGGCACGAGAGGTACGAGCGGGACGAGAGGGATTGCGGCAGCAGCGACGCGGCGGACATCAGAGGAAGCATCGCGCTGCGGTTTCGGCTGCCGCGGCGCGATTGTCTTCCTGGCTCCGCGTGCGCGGCGGAAGTCCGACGAGATAGGATTCGCGGGGGTTGTAACGAGCGCGACTCGCCACAATCACTGGTACCCCGCGACGTCGTGGCTTCCCGCGGAGTACCAGCGTCGCATTCAACGCGCGCCGTGCGAGACCGTTGCCGCCCGGCGGCAGCGGCGGCGTGGCGATCATGACAAGCGGGGATGATCGGAGTCGGAATTGGAACGGAAGGACACGCGGCGGCACCCATGCCTCTCTCGGTGTGCCACCACGTGGGATGATCCCATTGGACGTCGAGGTTCATGGTTAGAAGGCGTCGGGTTGACGGATGAGAAAGGAAGTCTCGCTATAGGGGGAAGCTCGTTTACGTCCATCAGTGTCCGGTTATCTGATGGATGACGAACGGAAAGGAATAACGTTCTGTTTTTTTTTGCCACCAATTCGTTGAGATGCTATTAGCATGCTAGATTATGCCACCAAGTCAAGAGTAGGTTGGTGCTGGCTAGAAATTAATGACGCTCTCTCTGTTGGGACGGTAAGTAAGGACGCAGGATTAGCCGAGTTAGCTGGCCAGTGGCCATCCATCAAGTAGGTGAAGCGACGCGACGCGACATTGTCAGCTGATGGTTTCAGATGAGTGGGTGACAGCAGCCGAGATCGGTGAGAAGGAAGATGTGATTGGCGGGGAGGGTGGGATGTGACGGGATGTTATGGAAATAATTGCGCGACGCGACGTGTTTCACATTTTGCTCAATCCTGTGGACTAACCTCGCACCGCGCTCCCCATTTTTTAAATTCTCTCAATCCCCTGGAGCGCAACTTGCTCTACACCCGCTTTTACGGTCTGGTCTGACTGCGTATTTTTTAATCAGCAATTTCGGATCCCTTTGATTTCTTGTTTATTGGTGAGAACACATTTGACGATATCCATATGTGTTACGAGTGCAATTGAGTGAACGAACGAGAATTGCACTATCGAAGCAAGAGTACAATGAGCGAAGGCATGAACGAAGAATATATAGCGAAACTACAGTGGTAACGGTAATGGACTGTGGTTGTCGCGCGACAGGCCTGGGACTGAGGTTGGGAAAAGTGTCGAAGCGGAGGCCCGGAGCGCGGGTTACCCGCCGAGCCGTGAGGTCGGGGTGCGACGTGCGAAGGTGGCGGGCGGATTGTCGATGCGAGGATTGCGAGTGGTAACGGTGCTGACTGTGGTGCTACAGTGATGTACGCGTTGAGCAGGGACGCGAAGTAAGGAAAAAGAGATTTTCCTTACACTACCCCCCCCTTTAAGGAGGTCCTGTCGAGAATGAAGATTAGGGGCCTAGGGTTTGACCTAGGCGAGAGTGACGAGAAGGAAAGTGGCGAGGGAAGATGCAAGCCAAAAAAGGGTTCACTAGTAGAGGGCATACAAGATATAGGCAAGGAATTAGGCAAATGGTACACCACCTAGCAGGAAACTAAGATAACTACACTAGACTACTGTAGGCATTTATATGAATGTATACAAATACATTTCAACACACCCCCTAAATGCATACAGTGGAAACCCGTGTGTAGCACAAAGTCTGCAGGGGTACACCAGGTGCAGTGGAAGAAACAGAAGCAAGCAAGAGCAGTAGTAGCCGGTGCAGGAGTGGCAAATACAACTATAGCACGCCCTCAGCCAAGTCAAAAGCAGTAGAAGGTGTAGGGGCGGCAGGTCGCCTGAGGAGCAGGCTCTGTGGCTGCAACATGCAGCAGGACAGCAGCGGCTCGACGGCAGCACCTGCAGGCCCCAGCAGCAGACAGCAGAAACAAGGGCAGGTGGCGGCAGGGGCGGCCGCAGGAGGTGCCACGGTAGCAGCGGGTGGCAGCTGCAGATGCTTGACTGTTTTCCCACCACCCTCTCTTACCCTCCCCCCCACAGCAGCACAAGCGGCAGTGAGAGAGAGAGGAGGGGTGGCTGCTGGCTTTGCAGAGTCTCTCTCGCCACCCTCTCACACTCCCCCCGTTTCCCTTCACCCTCCCCCCGCAACCTCTCGCCCCCCCTCACGGAGGACCCCGCTGAAGGGAGGGGTAGGACGGGCTGCAGGCAACTCACACCCGCCACCCCCACATCTCCCTCCCCCCACGGCGGAAGCTGCGGAAGGGAAGGGGGGGGGCGGCGTTAGCTGCTGCTCACGCAGGTGCTGGCGACGGGCGCTGGTGCTGGCGCACACGGCCGTGCGCGGCTGCGCACAGTCGTACGCGGCTGCGCGCAGCAATGCGCGCCCGTACGCAGCTGCGCGCGGCTGCTGCTGTGTTCGTGACAGAACGGGGTGGGGCAGGTCGGGACGGGGCGGGTAGCGCTGGGCGGGTGACAGGGCGAAGGAGCAACGGGGCAGTACGAGCTGCCCAGCTCGTCGCCATGACAGCAGAAAGCTTGCCGTCGCGCCCGTCACGTCAGTCGCAACTAAGGGCGCGACGGCCGCCATGAAACGAGGAATACGTGGTGGGCCCATGGAGAAGTTGAAAACAGTAGGCCAGGATGTTACGTGCTCTGTACCATGTCGAGAATGAAGATTAGGGGCCTAGGGTTTGACCTAGGCGAGAGTGACGAGAAGGAAAGTGGCGAGGGAAGATGCAAGCCAAAAAAGGGTTCACTAGTAGAGGGCATACAAGATATAGGCAAGGAATTAGGCAAATGGTACACCACCTAGCAGGAAACTAAGATAACTACACTAGACTACTGTAGGCATTTATATGAATGTATACAAATACATTTCAACAGGTCCTTACGAAAGTGCGTGTACATCCCTGAAATTCCGGCTACGCAGATACTCGGTGAGGACGGGGTGGTTTTCGATTCTGTCCAGGGGAACCCAATTGTCTTCGGTGGGTGTACGGTCCTTCCAGCGGAGTAAGAACTCGATCCTTCGGGCTCCTCGAGGGTCGCGAACTCTGTGACTCAGGATTTTCTCGGGGGTGATGATTGGTTCAGTCGGAGGTCTGGTCATGCTGGCTGGGCGATTGCGTGGCAGTTGGCTCGTGGACGGGACGTAAGGGCGAAGCAGGCTGACGTGGAACGAGGGGCTGACGTACCAGTCAGCAGGGAGGAGGAGGTGGGCGGTGACAGGTGTAAGCATGTGGCTTATGCGAAATGGCCCGCAGTATCGGGGGCGGAGTTTCGGGGTGATGGGCAGTCGGAGATTTTGGGTGTCGAGCAAAACTAAGTCGTCGGGCTGGTAAGTGACAGGTCTGCGGTGGCGGTCCGCGTTGCGTTTAGCGATGATGTTAGCTTTTTTAATTGCATCTGCTGCCCTGGTTCGTGCTGCTTGCAAAATTTCGGCGAACTGTTGCGCGCGTGGAACCGGGTTGTCGGGATTCGGGGTCATGGGTACTGTTGGGTCTTGTTCGTAATTCAGGTAAAACGGTGACTGTTGGGTCGTGGCGGATGGGGCGTTGTTGTATGCGAATTCGATGAGTGGCAGTTGCTGTTCCCACGTGGTTGGGTCGTCGCACGTGGCCCGGATGAGCTGTTCCATGGTCTGATTTGTCCGTTCTGTCTGTCCGTCTGTTTCGGGGTGGTACGATGAACTAAACTGTAGTCGCGTGCCGAACTGCTGCCATAGGTTCCGCCAGAAGTTGCTGGTGAATTTCGTGTCTCTGTCGCTGATGATTGATGCTGGTATCCCGTGCAGTCGAACGACGGTAGAGATGAAGAGGCGGGCTGTTTCTTCGGCTGTGATTGTTTTTTTGCAGGCTGCGAAGTGTGCCATTTTCGTCAGTCGATCGACGACGACCAGGATCGCGTCATTTCCACTCGCCCCGGCCGGTAACCCCGTGACGAAGTCCATCGTCACCTGCTGCCAAGCACGCTCTGGAGGTGGGATTGGCTGCAACTGTCCCGCCGGCCGCTTCCGTGTTGACTTCATGATCTGGCAAGTGGGACACGATGCCACGTGTCGCTGCACGTCGGTCAACATTTCGGGCCAGTAATAATACCGCTGCAGCTGCTGCCGTGTTTTCTCTACCCCGAAATGTCCCGAGGTAACCCCGTCGTATGCCTCCTGTAATAGTAATTCCCGTAGCAGTGTGTACCCTGGTACCCAGATTCGGTCGGTCCCGGCTTTTACGTAATAGACTCCCTTGGCTGCTGCGAACTGCTGCGAATTTCCTCCTGTGAAGAATGGGTCCGTTTGATATCCGTGGGTAAATAGTCCTGTCAGTAGCGGGCTGGTCTGGGCGAGTAGTATCGCGTGGATCTGGGCAGTGGGGCGGGTCAGTGCGTCGGCGATGTTCGAGGCTCCTTTTTTATAGGTGACTGTGTAGTGGAAGTTTGACTCGAGGAAATCGAGCCACCGAATCTGTCGTGGGTTGAGGTGGGGCTGTGCGCGGAGGTACTGTAGTGATCGGTGGTCTGTCCGTACTGTCACGTCTGCGCAGGTCAAGTAGCAGCGCCACACTTTGAACGCATGCACGATCGCGAGCATTTCGCGGTCGTGTATCGGGTAATTTCGCTCGGGCGGATGCAGTTTTCGTGACTCGTATGCGATGGGCTGTAGGCCGTTGCCGAAGTCCTGTAGCAGTACGGCTCCAATGGCGATGTCGCTTGCGTCTGTAACAACCTCGAAGGGGCGGTGTGGGTCGGCGATGCGCAGGACGGGCGGTGAACAGAGAACATTTTTCAGGGCAGAGAAGGCAGCATGCTCTTTCTCCCCCCACGTAAAAACGACCCCCTTTCGCAGTAAATCCGTCAGCGGGGCAGTCAACTGTGCCATGTCGGGGACGAACCGACGAACATAATTAACGAACCCTAAAAACTCTGCAGTTCCGTGATGTTCGTCGGGGGACGCCACGCTTTTACCGTATCCAGCTTCTTTGGGTCGATTTCAACTCCAGCCTCCGAAATAACGTGCCCCAAAAATTCTAGTTTGTCCCGAAAAAACTCGCACTTAGAGCCCTTGGTTAGTAATCGATGTTCCTCTAAAACTTTAAATACTGCTTCGA